TGCCAAGCTCTTTCAATAAACCGTTAATTATTATTATTATTATTATTATTATTACACACACACACACACAGTCTAGATTCTTTAAAAGTACAGATATAGACAATATATCTAATTAAGAAACTCAGGTATGATTAACGTGTGTGTGTGTGTGTGTGTGTGTGTGTTTTCATAGGGTTCAGTATGAGAGATAAAAAAAATCAGAGGAGGATACTGGCCCTGGGGAAAGCTGAGGCGGTATGACCCCAGGGAAGACCTAGACCACACACCACACTGAGGAGGAGGAGGAGGAGGATGGGGTGAAGAGGGAGAGGAGGAGGGGGAAGGGGAGTGAGGAGGAGGAGGAGGAGGAGGAGAGGTGAAGAGGAAGAGGAGAGGAGGAGGAGAAGAAGACAGGTAAGAAGTGTGACGCAAACATACGAACCAAACCAAATTTACAAAACACTTAACCACCTGAAGTGTATAAAGATCATGCAAAACAAAACAATAAAAACACAACCATTTAATAACCCATACCACACTCACAACCTACACGCAGGTATCATCATAACCCCTCCCGACACACACACACAACTCCTGAAGGTGAAAATACTCTCGTCTTAAAAGGTCCCTCACTTGTATTCAGCGATCGTAGATGCTCACACTGCGTTACTAATAATTTACGAAGGTAGAATTTAATACAGTACAGTAACCATTTGTGTTTTAGATTCAACACCGAACGAAAAATGCCACTCGTGTTTAGGTGGTTGATTGGGCAGGGTATCCCACACACCTGGATTTTGATATTAAGGTGAAAACACAGGTAATTTGATGTTTATATGGGGGAAATAAACATCTAATGCCATTGGAATTTCCCCACTGTCACTCTGTTTCCATCACACCTGGCTATCTTTCACTATCTCCACTACACCCAGATATCTCTCACTGTCTCTCACCAACACACCAAAACATCTCTCACAGCTCCAAAAAAAGATTATTAAGTCACTCAGAATTTGCCACCAGTTCCATTACATTGGCGAATAATTCATTAATACCAGAATGACCCAAGTCAACAGATTAAATTACAATCATCCTTTATCATACCAAACTAGATCATCATTCCTATTGTATGACCTTTAGAATGATTATTATTATACACGGTGTCTCAGAAAAACGTACACACTAGGTTACAGATTTGTACGGTGTTTCTGTTATAACACTAGCCATTCACACGACCTACACGACTATTTGTAAAGCAGTGTGTACATTTTACTGAGACACTATGTAAATCTGTTCAGGTATAATGTGTGTGTACATTTTACTGAGACACTATGTAAATCTGTTCAGGTATAATGTGTGTGTACAATTTTCTGAGACACCTTTAGTTAAATCTCTGTTTAAAGGAATATATGGAGAGGAAAGTCCGTTATATGGAGAGAGAAGTCCGTTATAGAGATAAAAGTCCGTTATATGGAGGGTTCACTTGTATATCGTTCTAACGCTCATACTAGCCTCAGAGAAGAGACTGATATGCATCACTAATCAATTTCTTCAGACTTAATACAACAACCTGTCTACTTCCCCTCGTCGACTCATAAAGAACAAGATGACAAATCGTACACACTTCAGCCTCTGCCTTCAAGATGTTGGGCTAACGAGGCAGGATCTTACCTCAGGTGAGAGAGAGAGAGAGAGAGAGAGAGAGAGAGAGAGAGAGAGAGAGAGAGAGAGAGAGAGAGAGAGAGACCAACTTATCCCCCAGCAAGAGTGGTAGTCTACCCCCAAAAAACTATCTGTACCCCTCAGTCAGATAAAAGCATAATTATAATGATATCAAGATAACAGTGATGACTGACGTATGAGCCACATCAGAGGAGGAATGTGGGTGTGGGTGGGTGTGGATCATCAGGTGTAATCATGGGGTGGGTGTGGCAGTGATATGGGGGCGGTGATACGGGGTGGGGCAAGGAGGTGGTGGTGGGGTAACACAAACACACACACACACACACACACACACACACACACACACACACAAAAATAACTCCTGTATTAACCTCAATGTGTTAAGTCACTACTCACTATCAGACGCTCGTTGTGTCGTCACCTGACACTGATGACGTGGCCCAGGTGACACGTGTTACCTGAGAGAGAGAGAGAGAGAGAGAGAGAGAGAGAGAGAGAGAGAGAGAGAGAGAGAGAGAGAGAGAGAGAGAGAGAGAGACTATTTTCACAGCACTAATCTTTCACCACACCACCATACCACTATCACAGCACTAATCTTTCACCACACCACCACAACCACCTCACCTCACCGCCTTTTTTCCTTACCTATACCTGCAGGCTTGGCATTAGCATAAACAAAAAAGCTTCATAATCACATAAAAGCCGATATTAATTATACGGACTAATAGCCAATCAGCCACTCCTAATTTATACACCAAGGTTGATATCACCTGTCTTGTTAATTCCGTAGGTTCAAGGGAACATGGTATATTGTGAGCTCGTTCGGTGGTTCACGGTCGTTTGGGTTGTAACTAGGCAATTAACCCCCCCTCCCCTTGTGTACTGATGTTTTAGTTAAATAAGATATTAAAATTACCATAACGAAATAAATATGAAATAAATTTTAATTACAATTTTCCTTCATAATAAAATTGTATTCAGTAATTTATATGAACTAATAAGAGTAATTTTTAAATATAATTCTTCTTAATGATATAATATATTTAAACATTTATCTCATTTAAATAATATAAACGAAATATATTATAAATACTATATAAATTCAGTGATTTAGTGGGGTATTATTCAGTGCTCTATTATTAACATACACTTCTAATATATCACATAAGAAATTCATATAACCTCAAGTTTAAGTTATACACATCATAAATATAAATTAATCTGGATATATATAAATTATAGTGGCAAGGAAACACAGATATATATAAATTACATAACAATATTCTTCCTATATAAACACTATTTAATAAGACTATATCCGCAATGGTGGAAAAATATACCAAACTATAATACTTCCTTCAATAAGAGTGTAATATAGACTCTGACGTTATCTATATAAAGTCTATCTAGTATTACATAGATCGGTAATATAATTTTCTCCATAATAAACAACAGAAATATATTTTGTTTACATTTCATTCGGGGATATTTTGGTGGATTAGATTTTACATGCACGACTACAGATGAATTCAATACACGGAACTAACCTCGAGAGGGGAAAATCAAAGGTTGTCATAATACGATTAAGATATATAATGAAAGATACATAATGCAGGTTAATGAGTTCTTATAGTTTCATTAGATAATAATATATAATGACTTAATCTGTTGAAATTCATAATTCTTTGTTGGGTCGTGATGGGAAAACACGTCATGATATTCGTTTTTATTTATGTATTTATTATATTACGTTACTTTAGTGAGGATTATTTATATAAGAGAAATGTATTATATTTATCAGGGGATATTTCTAGAGATAATGAGTCTTGGTGTTGATGTTCGAAGCTGTACCGAACATCACTGATTCACTACATATTTATCTATGGGTAAGACCAACAGTTCAAAAGTTCGTTTCAAAAAGTTCGAAGATTCATTTCAAAAGTTTAGAAGATTCATTTAAAAAGTTCGTAGAGACATTTACTTGTCATATATCAAAGAATTTCTAACAAAGTAGCAAAAACGTTATAAAAACTATTAATAATTTTTATCAACATTATTTTCACCCAAACATTAAAATTTCATCATCCGTAATATTTTAGTTTCTTTTTAAAATTTCCCAATGACGAAGAAAACTGAAATTTAAAACATATTGGAAAAACATTTAATATTATGAAGCTAGACGATATTTAGCTGAACTTAAAACCTATTACAACATTTTATATAATATTAAGACATAAATCGAGAAGTGTTGAAAGATTGAAACATACATAGAGATTACTCACTGAATTATGTAACCAGAACTGTATTTAGTCTAACCTGAAGGCTAATGTGTTTCTGTATCCTGGTTCCTGTAACACCCCAAATACCACCCCACCCCCAACTCACTCCAGTAACATAGTTATTATTGAAAAAAATATACCAATATAAATCAACAATATTGCATATATCAGGTTTAAATTAATGAGAGAGGAGACGATGGCATTAACATATAATAAAGGTTAGTTCCCAATATAAGCTAATCACAGGTGTCTCTGACGTAATCAAGGTGTGCAGGTGAATTCACGACTCTGGCCAGGTAATAGTATAGTTGAGGATGACGCGTCTTCGCCTCTATTGCACTTTCACTCAAATCTTTCGTGTTTTAGGCCAATTATCGTTAAATTCTTCGTTATTATCTCGTTGGTAGTTTATAGTTTAACAAGTAATGACTATAGTTAGTATCGATTGAACTGAGAAAAGGTTTCTAGTTTTGCACTAAAATAAATTTCAAGTTTTAAAATAAGAATCGATTCTCCTATAAATATTCCTTCACATCTGGCGTCTAAGTACCAAACACTTTGAGGTACCTCCGGCGTGACTTCAACAAGGATCTAATCATTAAAATACTAATAAAAAATCGTATTCTCAAGGCACAGTCCCCTTCACTTGTGCGTTTACAGGGGCTCGTCAGGTTTTGTGCAGTGTGGCAGCCCTGTGTGTGTTTCCATTCGACGGAAGGAAACTCATAATAATAAACATACTATGGAATCAAATTAAAACAATATTAAAAAAATATATATTTCAAAGATAATGATTTGTGGAATGTTTATATGTCGAGCCCCTGTAAACGCACTAGTGAAGGGGACTGCACCTCTCCAACTGAGACCTATCGCTATATTGTGATCGATTAAACTAGTACGTCTGTTAATTTTCACCACTAACAACGATTAATTACTTACTATTACAACCTTAATTACAAGACCTACACTACCACACACACACACGCACACACACACACACACACTCACACACACACACACTTAATAATAAAATAAAAGATTAGGTCAATAATTTTCACTCACATTTAGTTGACGTCACAGCGGCTGAAGACGATCCACTCTGAAATAAAAAAAAGAATAATTAATTAAATGAATAAATACATGTAAAATAAATTGATGTACAGTGAAACCTCTATTTAGCGGAATATATGGAGAGAGAAGTCCGTTATATACAGGACGGTCCGTTAAATGTATTAAAAGGGCCTCCATGTACTATTGTTGTTATTGTTGTTATTGTTGTTGTTTACCGCCACACACACACACCCGCCACCCACCACCACTATCCAACCCAATTACCACCATCACCACAAACAACGCTACCTACCACGATCATCAACCACCATTACCATAAAACCTAAACCACCTACCACTACCATTATGCTCCTCCAACAGCACTATATCTTCACTACCATCGTCAGATACTCATAACCACAACTACAACCATTTCATGACCTCATATTCATCACTATCACTATAACACGACCGCATACCTGTTATTACACACACACACACACACACACACACACACTCATCATTAATCTTACTATGATATACGATACGACTAAAATACTTCTCGGATCTACCATCTGTCTCAACCACGGTTATGTGTGTGTGTGTGTGTGTGTGTGTGTGTGTGTGTGTGTGTGTGTGTGTGTGTGTGTGTGTGTGTGTGTGTGTGTGTGTGTGTGTCCAAGCTGGTCTAAGGTGTGGTCACTGGTCAACGCATTACTAAATAAATTCTCGTCAACATCATGGTTATTGACTGTGACCAATGAGAAACCTTGTAGATCATTAACCCCCCTGCAATTCCTCCACTGTCATTGGTCCAAACTATAGAATGTACAATTACGGTCAAAATTCCCTATACACTTGGCAATACCTGGCATATACAGTCACCCCCCCAAAAAAAACTATCTGTACTATGGGTGATCGATGAATTTCAGAATGAACACTGTGACTCCTGTTGTCTCGGTAGGGTTGTCAAAATCTTTCGTCCAATGTGTCATATTTTTTCAACCCAATTTTGTATAGATAGTTCTTTTTTTTTGACTGTGACTGTACACTAAATACTTAAGCAGCATTAGGTGAGAATGGTGGCAATTTAACATATTTTTTCATATTTTTCCTCGAGTTCTTTTTTTAATTTTGTGGTTCTGACATAATAGGGGATGAAATGCATGCTCGCCTCGCAAGCGAGTGGACCCGGGTTCGATCCCCGGGCAGGTTGAAACAATGGGCAAGTTTCTTTACGCCATTTGCCTCTGTCTACCCAGCAGTAATTGGGAACCTGGATGTTAATCGATTTGCGGATCGTGTTCCGGGATAATGGTTAGCCAGTGCAGTTGGCGAGTTGTCCGGTCTTCTCGGACTATTCCTTGACACTGGGTCATGCAGCTCGTTAACTCAAGGTGTGGTTGTTGTGTTGGCGACAGCTTCTACACCTTAAACAAATTCACGCCTAGGTGGCCCTTGGGCCGTCCATCCTCCTTACACGGGGGGAGGGGGAGGGGGCAACCATTACCATAATGCATGTACAGGTGTATGTATGGGGGAGGGGTGGAGGAGGAGGAGGAGGAGGAGGTAAGAGAGATAAAAAGATTGATCGTCAAGTGATCAAAGATTTTCCACGATAAGATCAGCACTTGATCAACAGAGACAGGGAAGAGGGCGGGAGGGAGGGCAGGGTAGAGGGGACTGGGGAGGGGAGGGAAGGGGGGGATTATGAGTTGTAATGGAGGAGGAGTACCGGAGTAATGGTCAGGTAATAGTGGAGTAATCATCTGACAGGAGGAGGTCACAGACGATAAGGATCTACACTGTTATCTACATTATCAACGCGGTAGGCAAATTTAGTGGCAGCGACAGATGGGGGATTGGGGGGGCTAGGAGGCTGGGGGGGGCTGATGGATTGGGGGCTGGATTATACCTGAGGGTTGTTATCCATCAGTGCTTGCTGGAGAGAGGAGGGGGGTGGAACAACTGCCCCTTACCTGTTCTGCCACACCTGTGATGACTTGCCCCTTTACCTGTCCCCCATACCTGGAATAACCTGAACCCACACCTGTAATGACGTGCCCCTTAACTATACTCCACACCTGTCCCCCGCCACACCTGTAATCACCTACCCAAAATACTTGTGGAGAAATACACCTTTTACCATCAATTTAATTAAAAAAGTAAAAAAAAAAAAAATCCCATTTTCCTCACATTCTAATCAACACAAAACCAACGACAGGTAAAGCTTCAATAACAGTTCCCCAGGTAAAGCTTCAATAACAGTTCCCCAGGTAAGGTTTTAATAACAGTTCCCCAGGTAAAGTTTCAATAACAGTTCCCCAGGTAAAGCTTCAATAACAGTTCCCAGGTAAAGCTTCAATAACAGTTCCCCAGGTAAAGCTTCAATAACAGTTCCCCAGGTAGCTTCAATAACAGTTCCCAGTTCCCCAGGTAAAGTAACAGTTCTGAGTAAAGTAATAACAGTTCCCCAGTAGGTATCAATAACAGTTCCCCAGGTAAAGCTTCAATAACAGTTCCCCGGTAACTTCAATAACAGTTCCCCAGGTAAAGTTTTAATAACAGTTTGGGTAAGGTATCAATAACAGTTCCCCAGGTAAAGCTTCAATAACAGTTCCCCAGGTAAAGCTTCAATAACAGTTCCCCAGGTAAAGTTTCAATAACAGTTCCCCAGGTAAAGCTTCAATAACAGTTCCCCAGGTAAAGCTTCAATAACAGTTCCCCAGGTAAAGCTTCAATAACAGTTCCCCAGGTAAAGCTTCAATAACAGTTACTCAGGTAAAGCTTCAATAACAGTTACCCAGGTAAAGCTTCAATAACAGTTCCCCAGGTAAACCCCAAGAGCTAATTAACACCTGAGGTACAAGTCATTATATAAACAATAACACAGGTTAATTACTACAATAAACCCTCGATATAACGGACTTCCTTTCCGTAGAGTCCGTTAAATGGAAGTTCCACATCTACCGGACCCTCGATATAACGTACTGTAGATACATAATGGAAAAACTTCAGATAAGAGATAACTTTTATATCAGGTTCACATTCAAGAGCCACAGTGGTTAAATTAAATATTGATTCATTGTCTTTTCCCAGGTAATGTGAGTGAGGTTCTCGTTTGACTGGTCCACGGGAGAGGTTTGTATATATCAAGGTGTCAGATGTACGATAATTGGATCTTATTATGTTAGTGGTCTTCTTCTTAATGCTCCATACTAACCTCCACACTCCTCCAACTCTCCACACCACACCAGACCAGCCTACTCCAGTACTCCACCCCACACCACTTCACTCCACTACACTCAACAACACAACACTGATTTATTTCAACACTCGAAATTACCTATTGATTCACTCCTCGTCACACACACAACAGAGTACAGTCTTTAAGTGATTGCACACAGGTAATAGTGATTGAGGTGTGTGTGCTACCTGTATCTGGCAGGTGTGCAATCAAGGGTACCTGGTGATTGGTGTTACTAGTATTTATAATCTCGATCATACATATAGAAAAAATCTTCATGGATATTATAAATCAAATATAAATATACTACTTAGGTGGGTGTCATATGTATATTGAATCATACATACATGGATATCATTATACTTACATGGATATCATTATATTTACATGGATATCACACCTACATTAACATAATGCGTTTTTATCCATACAGTATTATGCAGTATTTTACTTCATTAAAATTTAAATAAAATAGAAAAAACAAAAAAATTATTATGAAAAAAAAAACACACACACACACACACACACACACACACACACACAAATTCTATAGAATATTAAAAAAAGTCATTACCAAAAAAAATAAAAAAATAAATAAAAAATAAAATAAAAAATATTAATAATCCCAAATACAAGATTTATTATATAATTGAAACTAAATCAGAATCCCCCCAAAAAATTAATTGAAAATAAAAATCCCATAAAGGCGTAACCCACGAGTATAACTGTACGTTTATTATGACAAAAAAATCTCACCTCTTGGCTATATCTACACGGAGTTCATATTTTTTGGGCTAGGTTTGGTTATGCATGTAGGGTATGTTAGCTATTCCTTGAGTGGCAGCAAACAAAATCCCACGAGTAGTAGTAGTAGTAGTAGTAGTAGTAGTAGTAGTAGTAGGTAATACCTTAACTCGCAACAGACTATCCCTTGAGTGGTAATAGGCTATTTCTTGAGCATTAATAGTAATAATAATAGTTCTCCCTTGATTAGCAGTGAACAACCGGCCCAACAGGATAGTATGCAGCAAGCTCAAGGGGTAGTGGGAAGGGGTAGGTTGGGAGGGAGGGAGGAGGGAGGGGGGGGGGGGGGCAGAAAGCGGGTAGTGGGGAGTAAGTAGGGGAGGTGGGGGGTTGGATAGTGGGGTTAGGGGGTTAGAGGGTGAGTGTGGGGTAGGAGATGGGGGTTGGGGGTAAGAGGTAGGGGGAAGGTAGTGGGGGTTCAGAGTAGTACAGACCATGGGTGCCCCTAGGCTGAGCTATGAGCCATGCACCACTGAGTATGGAATGTAGTTTGTCTGTATTCACTTCTTTTTTTCTTTTTTTTTTGCACCAACAGTCGACGTGACCAGCGTGTGTGTGTGTGTGTGTGTGTGTGTGTGTGTGTGTGTGTGTGTGTGTGTGTGTGTGTGTGTGTGTGTGTGTGTGTGTGTCCTCTCCTCTCCTCACCTCTTTTCTCTTAATCTCTCTTCTTTTCCTCTCTTGTTATTATTATTATTATTATTTCGATAGTAAGTTGTAGTAGGAATGAAACTTCTACTACTACTGAAATAATAATAATAATAATAATAATAATAATAATAATAATAATAATAATAATAATAATAATAATAATAATATAATAATAATAATAATAATAATAATAATAATAATAATAATAATAATAATAATAATAATAATAATAATAATAATAATAATAATACCCAACCGTCAGTTCGTCATTACACATAAGCAATTGTACATACAAAACACATAATCATCTTAAGACTCATATATGACTAAACACCCAATGACACATATGT